CTGTCCGTCTGTTCATTTTCCACAATACCGGTGTGTCCCGGTGAAAAAATCAGGACAATAATACTCCTCACTTGTGTCCTCCGCAGCGAAGCATGCCACTCTCCATGAAGCATGCCTGTCCTGACCTTTCTCGGCAGGCTTTCTGAGTCAGTTACAATCACAATGCGTATGTGTCATGATCTCTAGCCAGCGGAAAGCTGCAGTGACCACGTCCACCTCCATTCTTATGCTGGACGTTGTGGAATCATATGCTAGGCTCTCCTGCACCAAACGCCGACCATTAACTTTTGCTAAGAAACCTTAAGCACTTCTTTTGCCTCTTGACACTGAACCGTCTGTGTAAATAATCAAATCTTCAGAGCGAGCATTATCTTGAATTAATTGTTAAATTTCCACCTACGTGGCACCTGCTGGCTACTCTCTGCATTCCCAGCTCTGTGTGATTATGACCCTACACAAGTCTGACCGTTCAGGTGGCACTTTGACCCACTCCTCTCCTCGTCTAAGAAGAAGAAGAAGAAGAAGAAGAAAAAAAGAAGAAGAAGAAGCGATGACAAAAGAAAGAGATGAGATGGGAGAAAAGTAAAATAAGAAAAGGGGGAGGAAAAAGAGATAGAGAAGAAGGATGTATGTATGTTTATCAGTCAGTAGTATCTCAGTCTGGTTACCAGCTCTCGGTACACTGTTTTACAGCAAAGCGTCTGTACCCAATTTAGATTTTCAGTGAACTTGATTGAACAAGAGTGCTGCAGTTCAAATCTGACAACTGAACAATCGACACACCTGAGCTAGGTCTAGGAGGCTGAGTGTGTGTGCGAGTGAAATTTTTAAATATTGCGCCAGGCCGGGGGAATAAAGTTAATCAAACTTTGAATAATATCGATGGATAGGCTAACACCAATTTGCCGATTGGGCCAAAGTTTGGATAGGTAACTAAGCCGAGAATAGCACCAGTGCGTGTTTTAATTCAAATAATCAGTGCCCCAGTTGTGCAGAAAAGGTCCTTGTCTAGCTGATAAGTGTGTGTTGTGTATGTCACACAGGAAGTCAAAGCGACTCGTTGGCGTTCCCACGAGCTAGGGGGAGGGGGAGGGACAGGTACACAGTGTCAGGGAAAGGACTGACCCCGTTCACGACCCACCGCCAACAGTTCACAAACATAGCGACGAGTTCACAACCAGCCAATCTGAACTCGAGCTGATATAGCTATCGCAGGCCGTGCTTAATCAACGGAAGCCTTACCTGGGCGTTGCAGTGGCAGGCCAAGCAGAGTTGACACCCTTGCCTCGCTGGATCATGTTCGAAGTTGGCGACAAAGTTTGTGTGTGTTGCGTACGGAGTTTCTCGTGCTGAAGTGACGGAAAGTTCGGTAAAATGCCGCCTTTTGAAAAGTTTCCTGTGTTTTATTCATAATGTAAGGATTAATATAAGCAATCGTCACTTCTGCAATGCCGCTAGCGTTTCGAACTGTTCAGCCGGCGTTGTTAGGCAGGAGGCCCCTGACAGAAGACGAAGTGGGAGAAGATGTTGCCCCTATAGCCGTCTGTCATAACGCGTTCCTAGGAGCGATCGTTCAACTTGCCAGTCTGGTCAGGCATGCTGATGATCTGTTTTGTGATTTGGCCGAAGAATGCCAGCGTGTCTTCGAAAAAACGGAATCAATCTGTGTGAAGATTCAAAACATCCAAAGGATAACAACACAGGTGGATTCTACTCAAGTCACAATCCGTAAGTAATAATGTTACTTTTTGTTATTGTTATTGTTTACATTCATTTGGGTAGGTGCCGTCTGCCTCATCTTTAAGTTATTTACCAGTAGTGAGCACATTTAACTGTCTTCGTTATTGTAGGGAGAGAGAGAGAGAGAGAGAGGGGGGGGGGGGGACGTTATTTTTAAAGGGTACAGATTGAGGACGCCGGCCCCGTGTTATATTCAGCCCTTCCAGATCTTTCAAATAGCAACAGCATTTTATCAGTGAAGCATGTTGTATTCGTGTAGCAATATACAAAATTTAAGTATCAGGTAAAATATACAAAAAGGATGGGTGGTATATAAATACAAAGACATAATACCTATACACATACATACATAATACATACATATACATGCATACAGTAAGTATACATATACTTTTACACATACATACATACATAATATAAACACATAAATGCATACAGTACCTATACATAGGCCTACACACATAATACATATACATACAATACGTTTACATAGTCCTATACACACACTGATATACATGCATACAGTATGTAAACATAGGTCTGTACACATACACACAAAAGTTTTAGAAAGTTACATTTAATTTGATTGTGATAGACAAGATCCTATTCTGCAGTTGGCTTGGTGCATTGTGGTTCACAGCTATGCAGTGATATCTGAACCTTTGAACCCAACACATCTGATTTCAGGAAACTCATCATTAGTTGCCCTTTGGGACATGCTTGTTGTGGAAAGTGGGTCTTGTCTTCTAGTCCTACATCAGAAATATCTACACACACCATACTTTTCCTTTATTCCTGTTGGAGCATAGGCTCCCAGCTACCTCACGCCAAGTCATCCTGTCGAGCACGATCTTTCGTCGTCCACCCCACAGTCTTCACATGTCTTGTTAAATTTGAATGATGCACCGTTGCGTTCTGACTATTTTGTCGCTATTGACAGACTACTGCTGTGGTTCTGTTTATCCAAACGAGTTACCACTTCGTGCATACAATACTCACATTTCATATTTAAAGCTTTTAAAATGTCATGTCTTTATCTTTATTATTGGCTGACAAAATTACGGACATTAGTTTCTAAATCTACCTAACCTAACCACGGCATCTACCAATTCACCGAGAGGGTCAGTGAAGACGGCTTTGACCGTGTAAGTAAATACATTTCCACAAACATGTTTTACGACAATCACAAATAGGCCCATGTTGCCGTTGAAAGCTCTGTTGCCTTCTTGTACACCCTGGTAATGTTATGTTATCACAACGCCATTACTGCACATGGGGATTCTCATGCATGTTTAATCCTCGATACAGCAGCCGCTACCAACTGTCTGTTCCCCTGAGGAGTTGGTTATTTGTCTTTCCGTTGCTCTCTCAAAATTGGCATGGACGTGCCTCACTTTGCTTTACTCCCAAGTCATGCAATCCTGTTAGTGTCGGAGATTCCTCACTATCCGCTAGACTAGTCCGTACAGCGTTGGTGATATCGATTCTGTCCATGATTCTTCACGCATTCTCTCCGACTCTCTGTTTCAATAGTTTACACGAATCAGCTAGAGAGATAAACAACACACTAAAAATGAGAATCACCAAATGATGTGTACCCAATTTTGAGGTTTGGTGCAGAAACTTGGACAATGAACAAGCAACTAGAAAATCGAATTCAGTTTCTAAAAATGTGGAGATACAGAAGCATAGGTTGTATTTCATGGAAACAGTCTCATGCAGGAATTATGAAAGGACAACAAATGAGTAGAGAAAAGCTGAAAGAGAAAAAAAAAAAGAGAGTTACTTTAGCCACAATAAAAGACATAACACGCTTTTGAAAACCATACTGGGGTAAGGTCAAAGGCAAGAGAATTGCAAGAATGTGAATATGAACACTTGAAGAACAATGTTTAACACAATATATGTACCATTGCTATGCCATTAATGTCAAACATGGATACTGTCCCCAGAAGACAGAAGGAAAATAGTCACTACAGAAATGAAATGTTTACGTACTGTGATAGGTGTAAAGAGGAAAAAAGGAAAGATCGACTTAGGAACGATGATTTCAGGAGGAGAGTCGGCACTGAACCAATACTGAACTTTATAGATAGACAACGTATCAAATGATTTTACCATGTAACAAGATTGGCAGCAGACAAGGCACCACAGAAACCAGTTATACAGATACAGCTGTAACAGAGCTAGAGGTTGATAAGGTGGACCGCAGAAACATCAGAGACACTGAAAAGTACTCTATACGAAGCGAATATAAGCGCCGTTCGAGAGATCTCTTCCTGCCCTGACGCCGCGAGGCATTCCAGGAGTAGAGGACAGAAGAAGAAGAAGAAGAGACTCTCTAGTGTTATCGTTACCTGCTAACGCTTACTCATGCGAAATGATTACGTCTCGCCACGGACTCTATCCCAACAGTCGCAATAACTGTTTTCTGCCGTGTAGAGGCAGAGGCGGACAGCAAGGCTGGGTTCCTGGTATCCGTACATTATACCTGGTATCCGAGCACATGTGTACATTATACCTGGTATCCGAGCACATGTGTACATTATACCTGGTATCCGAGCACATGTGTACATTATACCTGGTATCCGAGCACATGTGTACATTATACCTGGTATCCGAGCACATGTGTACATTATACCTGGTATCCGAGCACATGTGTACATTATACCTGGTATCTGAGCACATGTGTACATTATACCTGGTATCTGAGCACATGTGTACATTATACCTGGTATCCGAGCACATGTGTACATTATACCTGGTATCCGAGCACATGTGTACATTATACCTGGTATCTGAGCACATGTGTACATTATACCTGGTATCCGAGCACATGTGTACATTATACCTGATATCTGAGAACATGTGTACATTATACCTGATATCTGAGAACATGTGTACATTATACCTGATATCTGAGAACATGTGTACATTATACCTGGTATCTGAGCACATGTGTACATTATACCTGGTATCTGAGCACATGTGTACATTATACCTGATATTCGAGCACATCTGTACATTATACCTGGTATCTGAGCACGTGTGTACATTATACCTGGTATCCGAGCACATGTGTACATTATACCTGGTATCCGAGCACATGTGTACATTATACCTGGTATCCGAGCACATGTGTACATTATACCTGGTATCCGAGCACATGTGTACATTATACCTGGTATCCGAGTACATGTGTACATTATACCTGATTCCTGAGCACATCTGTACATTATACCTAATATCTGAGCACATGTCTACATTATACCTGGTATCCGAGCACATGTGTACATTATACCTGATATCTGAGAACATGTGTACATTATACCTGGTATCCGAGCACATGTGTACATTATACCTGATATCTGAGAACATGTGTACATTATACCTGGTATCCGAGCACATGTGTACATTATACCTGGTATCTGAGAACATGTGTACAATATACCTGGTATCCGAGCACATGTGTACATTATACCTGATATCTGAGAACATGTGTACATTATACCTGGTATCCGAGCACATGTGTACATAATACCTGATATCTGAGAACATGTGTACATTATACCTGGTATCCGAGCACATGTGTACATTATACCTGATATCTGAGAACATGTGTACATTATACCTGATATCTGAGAACATGTGTACATTATACCTGATATCTGAGAACATGTGTACATTATACCTGATATCTGAGCACATATGTACATTATACATGATATCCGAGCACATGTGTACATTATACCTGCTATATTATGTGAATTTCGGTAGCACAGTTGCTAACACACTTGCTTGACGATCTGATGGGTATTTGTTCGGATCCCCACCAAGATGGAGTTTTTTAAGTATTGATGTGCGCTTCTCTGTGAACATCGCCTGAAGTGGGTAGAAGAAATTGTCGTGGGGAGTAAAATCTGTCGGTTGGCCACTGAATGCCGATTGGTATATAAACGTATGGAAAGACACCAGATTTCCAATTAGCCTCATGGAATGGAAGATAATCTCTCTCTCTCTCTCTCTGCCATTCTTTACCTTTTTTCATTTCTCCATCACTCTTTATTTTTCTTTGTCTATGTGTCTCTCACTCTCTTTGTCTCTTTCACACACTCTCTTGCTCTCTCTCTTTCTCTCTCTCTCTCTCTCTCTCTCTCTCTCTCTCTCTCTCTCCCTGTCTCATACACACACTCTCTTGCTCTCTCTCTCTCTTTCTCTCTCTCTCTCTCTCTCTCTCTCTCTGAGAGAGTATCCCTATTTCTTTCTCTCTTTCATGCTGTTACGGTCTCTCTCACACACTGTCCCCGTCTCTCAAATTCTTTGTTTCTCTTACCGCTTCGCCTCTTTCTCCCTCTTTCTCATCCACTCTGTATCTCTCACACTCTCCGCTTTCTCTCCCCCTTCTCTCTCTTTCTGTCTCTTACATTTTCTCTATCTCTCGCTCTTTCTTTTTCTTTCACTCGCTGTCTCCATTTCTCGCTCTCTCTCTCTCTTATTCTCTAACATTATGTGTACCCCCACTCACCATTCCCATTCTCTATCTGCCACGCACACACATTCTGTGTGTGTGTATGTGTGTGTGTGTGTCCCCCTCTCTTTCTCGCAGGTTCCTCAAACTAAAGGTAGGTAGGTGATTTGCTGAGAGAGAAAAAATCGCCACGTTCTACAAAGGGGGGAGCTTTAGGTTATAATTGTGACTAGGTTAAGTGTGCCATAAATCATTAACATTGCCCACTACCAAGCGCCCTGAAAAGGATTCCTGCAGGGTTGATGCCATCAAAGGACATAGACCCAAATACAGCCCTGTTCGGCGACAAAGTCGTCTACCGGCGAGCCAGTGGTCGACCTGATCGCCCATGATGCCTCAGACCAGACACCCAACACGCCATAGTCGTGTCCCACAACCATGAGATGAAATACGGAGCTAATTAACAACCAGTCACGTGACAGATGATAGGATGAGATCAGACATACTTGCCAGTGGCTCGTCTACGAGTTCGGCCAAAGCACCGGATCAACGCCGCTCAATACTTGATCGCCTTTCTCAGTTTTTATGATCGTGTTGTTGCTTTTTCCCTACTTAAAGGCAGCAAAAAAAAAATTCAGGATGTCTGTTCTGTACAACTGCCAGTAATTCTTTGATCTGTGTTATTGTACTTATACGGTGTGTGCACGTGCTGGCATATATATATGATACGTGTGTGTGTGTGTGCGCTCTTATTCGTACAAGCAGGTCGACATACGGCTTTCTAGCTGTCAGGCATTGCATATTATGTAGGTAGTTACCATCCACACTTTTGTGTTTTTACTTAATATTCATCTCTCCTTTGGGTGCCGGAACCCCATAAAGGGGAGGGGCAGATTAAAGACCCACTACCCGTTTACAACCATGTCGTAAAAGCAACCAGTTAGGGATATTTCCTTCGAAATCGGAAAGTATCTGCTTGAGAGGCAAGCAACCAACAGTCCGCATACAAATAGGCCAGACCTGTGGATCGTATATGTACGCAAAACTCTCACTCTGGGACAGGACCAAAGTCCAGAAGTGGATGAACATCCATAATTTTCCGACAGAGCTAATAGCCAGTAACCGCTAAGATGGCGAGAGATATTCATACTCTTTATCATAAAATACACTAGCAGTGTGAGATATGGGTTTTTGGAAGGGTCGAATGTAAGGCGGGCCTACGTGCCCAATGTTTGACCCTTTCAAAATAAAATGTGTTCGTCCATTGATTCTTTTACCATCCCGGTTGCGTAGTCTCCAGGCATGGCGTCCGCCTCGAGTGCTGGAGGTCCCGGGTTCAAGCCCCGGTTAAGGCTGAGATTTTTTTTCACGTGGACTTCTAGTAATTTCCCCTGGTCTCCGGGTAGTAAGATAGGACGCCCGTGTGTATTGTTGCGCTCGTTAAAAATCCCTTGGCAGTTGGTAATCGAAAAGAGGGTTTCTTTTGCCCGGGCAAAATTTTGATTTGTGCCCAAAGAATTTTCAGGATCCACGCCGGTGTTACGAAATCCGTGCACTGCGCTGAGATACTTCGGACTCAAGCTTGAGTTTTTTTTTTTTTTTTAGTATCCAGAAACCATGAGTTCTCAACCCTTTGGCTCGGTTCTATGGATATCGCAACCATTCGGCCTTGATTCCGTGATAAATACCGTAAATCTTGGAGAATTGTGGCTTTTCTGCCTATCCCAGGGCGTGAACCAGGACCACAAGGAGTTCGTCACCCGGTCGTCGCGAAGTCCGTTTTAGCCAACTATGCTAGCGAGCCGGGCAAGGCTTGAGTTAGAAGTAGAACGGAGCACCTATGGGTTACTACCCTTGTGCCAAGATGTTGCTCCGTTGTATAAACCAAACGGTATAAACCGAAGCTCACTGGTTAAGAAAGCTGAGGTCACGATTACACTAAAGGGGGCATCACGAATATTTTCTTCCTCATCGCTTCGTTATTGAGAGTATGCGTATGCAGCCAGCTTCATAGTACTAATTTTTATGGTTTCTGTCTGAGTGGTGTAAGCATGCAGCGATTGTTCTCATCGCTGCGTTTGAGACGTAAGCCGAGTGGCCTGTTTTTGTTGTTGTAATAAATGGTCAACAGTAGTGATTAATACCTGGGAACTACATTTACCGAAGATGGGAAATTGGGTAAAGAAATTAACATTAGATGCAGTAAAGCAAACCAAGTATTGGGACAGCTAGCTCCCCTCTTACAGCATAAGACAATCCCAATCAGCACAAAGAGACATCTTATTCAAAGCATATTTATTCCAACTCTGTGCTACCAGTGCCAGACATGGTCATTCACAACAAACCATAAAAGAAAATTAGTAACCATGGAAATGAGATGTCTGAGAAGGGCTGTAGGAGTGACCATAAGAGATAAGATCAGGAATGAGATCATAAGAGAAAAAGTCGGCACAGAACCAATTCTAAATTACATACAAAGACAGCAAGTGAAATGGTTTGCCCACTTAGAGAGAATGCCTTACCCACTTAGAGAGAATGCCTTGTGACACCATACCATACAAAGCATACATGGAAAGAGAAGAAAAACGTAGAGCACGAGGTAGACCAAGAACAAGATGGAAGGATAACATCAGAGAAACTCTACAACAGCACGATGTGTCTATGGTCGAGGCGGCCAGAAGAGCTAGAAACAGAACCTTAAATCTCCCTCGACACCCACAGCGGTAAAAGAGGAAGTGAAGAAGAAGAAGTAATGATCAATAGTGAAATAATCTGGTAATGTGGTAATCTTAGTTTCAGCTTCATAGTAGGACACCCCATAGTTGCTCCGCTCCTGTGCCAACGAAAAACACACAGAATGTTTATCACAGTCCCTTGTGGAAAGATTGACAGACTGCTGCCTCAGCATATCTACCATACACACGCATTAAAAGCATACGGTAGCCATCCGAAGTACCAACACAAACAGTCCGACATTAGAAATGCAGTTCATCGTGGATGGTAGCAGAAGTCACCAACAGATCAGCAATTGCACACGCAATTGAATAATGAATCTTTCTTTGCCAGTGAAAAGTTTAATCGGCTATTGCCGTGTTTCCATGCACGCCTGACCATTGATAGGCGCTACTGTTGTAGCACACAGCCAGCTTACAGGGAATCTCCGGCTAGAATGCTGTCAAGCCAGCAGATTTGTTGTGGTTGCCGTTTCAACATTCTAGCATTTTAGCTGGATCACTAGATTCACTCCCCTGTCTGCATCCCTCACAATTGTTCTTGCTTGCTGTTTCTGAACAAATTTTTCCATTCTCGATCAGCCCCGAACAGGTACACAAAAGGCGAGCTCAACCGTGAAGTCATTGTGGATTTGCAGCGAATTTTTCACGGCTGAGATGAACTGTGTACCACATCCGGTCTCTATTTTGTCCCCTGGCACTTATTGTGTCGCCCTGCATCTGCAAGCTAAATGGGTTTTTAAATGTGAAACTGTTCATGTTGCAAGGGAAGACATTTTAACCGCGAAGATCTTTTAAGGACAATTGATGGATTGTGTTGTGAAAGTGAAACAATTTTTTGTTCGAGACTGAACGCTATACCAATATGTTGTAACTGGTACAAGTTGTGAGAAATTTAGGTGTGATTTCTGTCTGGCTGTCTGTCTGTCTATCTTAACCCTTGGAAAGTGTAATTGTATGTCTGCCTGTCAGTCTCTCTGTCTGTCACCGTTCTATCCATGACTGATTGCTTGTCTGTCTACTGAGGGTATGTCTGGGCAATCTTTAGTCGAAGAAAGATAATGTCAAAGTTGGGCCTGTGTTATTGATGTTTTCGTCACAGAATTAAGATAGTTTATGCCAGTAGCTCACGTGCCACGAGACATAAGTAAAATATGTAATTCTAAATCCTTCTTCTTCGCCTTTTAGGACATGCTTGTTAAGGGGCAGTGAGCAGAGACGTAGCAAGGGGCGTTAGGTGGGTATGAGCCGCACCGGGTGTCATCGCTATAACGGTATGGGGAGGGGGTCAAAATGGAAAAAAAATATGTTTCCAAAATTTTTTAATATTTGTGGGGTTTAGGGGATGACAGGCCATTGTCCTCACCATTTACCACCCGACCTTGCTGCACCATTGGCTGTGAATGTCCCCTGCCTCCACCTTTCTACGACAAACCGCCAAGGGACTCTAGTACCTACACGGAGATCCTGCAAGCAAGCCTATTGAAGCCTTGTTGCCCACAGTATAAATTAACTG